GGAAGTGCCGGACCACCAGTTTCCGGAAAATCACTGGTGTACCTGTAGTACACTGCCTCAATGAGCGACTGATATAAATTATTCTACTACTAATGTGAGTAATGGGGAAATACAAAAATCACTCGAGGGAAATAAAATTACATTTAGTATTTCATATCTAATTCATTAAAAAATAACATATTCCAACAATACTTTCATACATTCATTACAACAATCATTAGCAATATACAAGCTCGCTGTTTGTTGTGAAATGATTACAGTGCTATGCATAATTCAAGGACTGAAAGAAGCAAATACAATAGCCAGGAGATGCTTTCTTACATCCGAGTCACACCAATCAATCACCACCATATACAAGTCCAACAAATTATGATTTAAAATCTACACCAGTTAACCCAAGGCAACATAGATGTAGATACAATTGTTGACACATGTAACCAGTCATGGAGTAAAATGTCTAATCACTACTCATGACACTTACCTAAAGAGAGAAGGAACTCACAAAGTACAATCTACATACAAGTCTCTCCATAACTTATGAAAATAAAATTTTGCAGTTCCTGAATTTGAATATGTCTTCACTTCTCATTGATCAAGATATAAGAAACAATGACAAGGTAAAATTCAGTCAATTATCTTCATTTAAAGCATAAAATATCAAGAGTTTATGTATCAAAACCAAGCAAATGCTATAAAAGACAAAACATGAAAAATTATATTGAATAAATGCTCTTTGGGGAACTGGTAAAGGTATTGAAAATTGTTTCTAAATAACATAACTTGTTTAAACTCACAGTGCCTCAACCATAAGAACAATAAAATTATTACATATTGCTTCCAGCACTGATTTTACAGTACAGCTACTCCCCGACTTACAAACACCCGGACATACGACCGCCTCAGTCGTACCAAAATTTTGTCAAATTACGTATTTTCTTAAGAGTCCCAACGTCAGTGATTGCGCTGTGCACTGACAAAATTTTTTTGTGCAATTCACTTTAAAATGGCTGGCAAGCTGAAAAGTGAGAGTTTTGTGGTGCCGAGAAGAAAAAGAGACACCCATTTTAGATTTTCTATGTATTATTTACGCATTTTCGACTTACGACCTGGATTTGGGACCCGAACACCGTCGTAAGTCGGGGAGCAGCTGTATATGATTAAGTTCATCTTCAAACCTAACTTACACAAGTAATTGTACATGTGGTGACATGCAGTCACAAGAGAACCACTATCTGGTAAAAACTTATTTGTAAAACCTGAGGCTTTGGGTAGCACACTGCTATATCAGAATAGTGCCTCGCAGTACTGACAGGTATATGGGAGTATCCACAACCTTTGTTCCCACAGCTCAACTTCCAATGTAGACCCGACATGATAACTTACAAAGAAGCGGTTTACCAAATTCTGTGTAAACTACAGGTATACAACACATATTAAATACTGTACATTACAATATACCAGTCACTCAAAGTGTAACAAAACACCAAAAAAAACCAAGATTTACCTCTTTCCATTAAAGTCACAAATCTGTCTGTGCAGGTGACCCAAGACTTGTCCATGTACCTTCACTTGCACAACAGGTTTTCATTTACACATTTCTGTATGCCAAACTTATTATGGCTAATCTATCATTAATCAGAGTCAAACTTGACGGAATTGATGCCTATATCTAAAGAACCACCTCTGTAAGACCCCTTCTTCTTCTTATTCTTCTCATGACGGAACCTTTTCCCCCGAGTCACATTGAGGTCTTTGTAAGCCTTTTCACCCCAAGAGCCCCAAGAACCTCTCTGAAAAATATAAAAGTCAAGGGTAGGGATGAGTAGATCATAATAATTTCTATCAATGATAAAATGAAAAGATACTGTAAACAATATGGTAATATGAAAATTTAGATAATAAATGAACATGGACAAGTAGAAATACCAGAATGAAAAAAAAAACTGTACAGTATAATGAAATTTTCATACAAGGTCTACATGACTGCTTCAGCATACAATGGGACTCAATATAAAATGCAAACCTTTGAAAATCTTCTGATAAATTGAAAATTCTAATCCAACTATACTCATTTTATATCAGAGTTAGTTACGAGTGATTATATATATATATATATACAGGTAGTTCTGCTATAACGCGATAATTGTGTTCTTGTAAAATATCGTGTTATAGAAAATCGCATAATAGAAAGAACAGGGCTTATGGAGAAAATAGGGTTAGGTGCAGATTACTCAAAATCGAAAAAATTTAGTAGTTAGCCTAACACAAAGGATAGCACAGTCTAAATAAATATTACATTCATATCTAATAATGAAATCATACAGTAAATGTAACACTTTACTTGATGGGGGAGAAGGGTGATTTTGAGGTTGATAAAATCGAGCTTCTCTTCAAGTGTTATATCCTTTCTTTTACGATCATCACCGGGAATTCTATCACCAGAACGCTTCTTGTTGATATTCTTCTTTACTATATTCACAGTTAATACTGTACCACAAAA